GGGGAGGGGGAACACCCCTCAAAGACGGGGGTGCGAGGGTCACCATGAGAGGCTCCTACAGCGACTATGCTCTTCTCTGCTGCTAGGAGGCACTCCTTGAGGAGGTCAACGGTGAGAGTGGTGGGGCAAACTGAGAGGAAGTGGTCCCTGACTAAGCGAAGAGAGTCAGGGAGCCGGGTGACTATGTAGTAGAGGGTGATGTACATGGGGGGGGGGGTTCTTGGCGCAGAACTCAGCAGGAAGCGCAGCGCGGTAGCGAGTGTCACTAGTGCAAAGGTGCTTAATGAGGTCAGCGACTGTGGGAAAGGCGGCAAGGTCATAGAAGAGGTACTGTAGCATGAGGCGGCTAAGTGCAGCAGTGGCAGGGGAAGAGTAGCGTGCAACTACAGTGTCGTACAAGGTCTGAGCAATCTTGTACTGGCTAAAGTGTGCACGCTCAGTGGTCGGTAAGTGGCGATGCACAGCAAGACGGGCAGCAACATCAGTGGCTCGGTGACTCAGGTGCTCGGCGGCTCGGCTGTCGAGCGGCTCGGCGGCTTGGCTGCTGGGCGGCTCGGCGGTCAGACGGCTTGGCGGTTTGGCTGCTTGGCGGCTCAACTGCTTGGCTGCTCGGCTATCGGGCGGCTCGACGGCTAGGCGGCTCGGCTGCTGGGCGGCGCGGCGGCTTTGCTGCTGGGCGGCTCGGCGGCTCGGCGGCTCTGCTACTGGGCGGCTCGGCGTCTCTGCTGCTGGGCTGCTCGGTAGAGGCGGCGTCGGGGCCGCTTAGGGAGGGGAGCGGCGACGGGGCCGTGTAGTGGCGGCGACGGGGCCGCGTAGGAGGCGGCGTCGGGGCCGCTTAGGGGCGGCGACAGGGCCGCTTTGGAGCGGTAGCGGGGCCTCTTAGAGGCGGCGACAGGGCCGCGTAGGTGGGGGGGGGGCGGCAACGGGGCCGCTTAGGGTCGAGGACGGGGCCTCTTAGGGGCGGCGACAGGGCCGCTGAGGGTGAGAGGTGGCGACGGGGTCGGTAGGGGCGGTAACGGGGCTGCTAGGGGCGGCCACGGGGTCGCGTATTGGCGACGACGGGGCCACGCAGGGTGAGAGGCGGCGACGGGGCCGCTAATGGCGGCAACGGGGCGGGGTAGGGGCGGTAATGGGGCCGTGTGAGGGGCGGCGACGAGGCCGCTAGGGGCCACTAGGGGCCTGGAAAGGGCGGCAAAAGGCGCGCCTCGGACAGGAGCGACTAGCGCTCCGGTCAGAAAGGAAATTTTCAGTGGTGGGCCCAAGGAAGCGTTCTCACTAGGGAACCTGCTCTATACCATGTGAAGAACGAGGAATGAATGAACTAGCACAAGGTTGGGTCTAAGTAGGAAACCCGAGGAAATTGTACCCCATAGTGTCTACCCCACTATAGCCTACACAAGCTATATATGAGTTTGACAGAGTTTTGGAGAGTCACTCTACAATGGTTGTGAGCTAGACTACGGGGGTTGGCGCGAACTACTAGGAGTGATCGTAGCTTTGCTTAGTACCTTAGTGCTTGCACATTCACGGGGAAAATCGGCAAGAGTTTCCGTCGATGGACTGCTCCGTCGACCCCACAGTCGAGCTGCCCCTCCTGGTCAACGGCCCATCCATCGCCCAGACTAGTAAGCTGCAGCTGTCGAGCTCCCTGGTCGACAGCAACACCACAGCAGTCCCTTGCAGCTCGACAAAGCCTGTCGAGCAGCTCTCCCACTATGAACGGTTGGCTGCTACTCCCGTACATCCGACCAAGTCGTCGGCGTTGCCCAAGCGAGGGCGGGGCCAACACTCCATTCCCATTAACAAGAGTCACACTGGGAACTTTTCCCTTGGATTGCGAATTCACTAACAGCTAGGACAGTTCAAGCTAACGACTTCTAGATTTCGTGTTATGTGTATCCATAAATATTCAGTAAAGGGTTCACAACAAGTAATCTCGGGTATTTTACAAGAGGGATTCGGAATGTGCATGAAGTGTACACTTCGATGAAAGGCTGAAGAATCAATTTCTTTAGAGAAACAAATGTTGAAAAACCAGTCTCTCTAAAATTTGAACACTTCAAAATCTGTCTAGGTACAAAACATTACCATGAAAATCAGGAATTTCAGAGATTTTTTCATGATACCTGAGGGCCTTGTGCATGCAACAAAGGTTGTCAACGTCGGTGGGCAAGCTTTACTCGCCTCTCCAGTGTTGGAAACAATCAAGCTTAAGCGCCTCTGTCGTGTCGAAACACCAAGGCATAAGCAAAGCGAAGCATATCGAGGCACCAACGAGTCAACCCTCAGAGGTTGAAGTAACTGCTGGAGGTTACGCTAAAGTCAAAGGTCAGCGACCTTTGACCTGACAAGTACAGCGCGACAACAAGGACACACAACTGACTCGCTACAGAGCAGTTGCCCGAGTCGTCATTGTATCGAACCGCAACAGCAACAGTAAAGAAGTTATAATTGTATCTCTTCATATTCCTTGTACTCTTATATAGGTCAGTAGAGCTACACTGTGAGATCCCTGATCGATCCTAGGGGGGGTTACAGGCGCGTTTGCCTGGGGGGTTATTGGCGCACTGACCCGCTACTGAAACAAGCCCTTTTATCCCAATGGTCTAGTGGTTGGGATTCTGACATGGTATCAGAGCGGTCTCGGGTTCGAATCCCGGTGTATGCACATGTTGGTCGTTGCCACTGTGCTCAGTCCTGGGCCTCCCAGTGCGGGGGGGTGTCAGTAGAGCCACACTGTGAGATCCCCGATCGATCCTAGGGGGGGTTACAGGCGCGTTTGCCTGGGGGGTTATGGGCGCACTGACCCGCTACTGAAACAAGCCCTTTTATCCCAATGGTCTAGTGGTTGGGATTCTGGCATGGTATCAGAGCGGTCTCGGGTTCGAATCCTGGTGTATGCACATGTAGGCCGGTGCCGCTGTGCTTAGTCCTGGGCCTCCCACTGTGGGGGGGTTTCAGTAGATCTGCACTGTGGATGCCCGATTGATCCTGGAGAGGGTTACAGGCGCGTTCGCCTGGGGGGTTATGGGCGCACTGACCCGCTACTGAAACAAGCCCTTTTATCCCAATGGTCTAGTGGTTGGGATTCTGACAATATAATCCTGTATCTCTTTGCCTTAATCAACTTACTTTGCTCTCATATACTAGCGCAAGGTGGTTCACAACTCTTCATTAAAACACTTCCGCTACTACATCAGTCCTACCCAGAGTTCACCCTTGCAAAGATCCTAAGGGCTTTTCTCAGCCCAACATGGTATGAGAGCAGTCAGGGAGAATTCAACTTCTATCAAGATACCAACAACATCAAAAGGCATGGCTACACAAAAGGAAAGGAGCCCCTCCAACGGCTCCCAAGGCACTACTCCTACTCCACCTCCTGCCTCTGGCCTACAGACAGAGGAGGGTACGGCAACAAGACCAAGGGCAACATCCACCGAGACTCCTGCGAATCAACCTGCAGACTTCGACCAGAGCATGATGGAGAAATTCTTCTCCTTCATGTCCTTATACGAGCAACACCAGCAATCGGCACCTGCGCAGCAACTCCCATGAGCCTCGACGGCTCATCATACATACGAGGAAATCAACAACAGCAGCCTACCTTTGCTCCGTACAAGGGCGGGTCCATCAGCTTTATGCCACACTCGCAGCCTTCACCTGGACAAAAAAGTCACTGGACGCATTACAATTTCAGTCGCAGTTCGCGCACGTTCTGAAGATGCAGACGTCAAGACCTTTCGATGGAAAGGATTTCTTCACCTGATCGTTTGAATTCGAGTTGATGATGGAAGGCGCGCAGATACTCGGCTTCTTCGACGGGTCCCTGCCAACCCAAGGAACAACCGTTCTCATATGAGAAGCAGCAGTACGCCTATCAGTCGATGATGGCATACACGATTCTACTGAGGAACATCACCCCGACTCAACAGCATAATATACGGTCTTACCGAGGTTACGGCAACTCCGCGCAGCTCGCATACAACCACTTGAAGAGCCTGTATCAAGCAACACACAGCGTAAATCAAAGTCGGTTGATGGCGCAATGTCAAACTTATATCATATAGCTTGTCTAGGCTATAGTGGGGTAGACACTATGGGGTACAGTTTCCTAGGGTTTCCTACTTGTACCCAACCTTGTGCTGGTTCATTCATTTCCTCATTTCTTCACATGGTATAGAGCAGGTTCCCTAGTGGGAACACTTCCTTGGGCCCACCTCTGAATTTTTTTTTCTGACCAGAGCATCAGTCGCTCCTGCCCGAGGCGCGCCTTGTTTGCCGCCCTTCCAGGCCCCTCACGGCCCCTAGCGGCCTTGTCGCAGCCCCTACGCGGCCCCGTCACCGACCCTAGCGGCCCCGTCGCCGCCCCTAGCGGCCCCGTCGCCGCCTCTCTCCCTACACGGCCCCGTCGCTGCCCCTACGCGGCCCCATCGCCGCCCCTACGCGGCCTCGTCACCGCCCCTAGAGGCCCCGTCGCCGCCCCTAGCGGCCCCGTCGCCGCTCCCCTTCCTACGCGGCCCCGTCGCCGCCACTTAGGCGGCCTCGTCGCCGCCCCTACGCGGCCCTGTCGCCGCCCCTACGCGGCCCCGTCACCGCCCCTAGCGGCCCCGTCGCCGCTCCCCTCCCTACGCGGCCCCATCGCCGCCACTACGCGGCCTCGTCGCCGCCCCTTCGCGGCAGCGTCGCCACCCCTACGTGGTCGCCTCTAGCGGCCCCATCGCCGCCTCTGTCGGTCTTGGTCGCCGCCTCTACCGGCCCCGTCGCCGCCTCTACCGAGCCGCCCAGTAGCTGAGCCGCCCAACATCCAAGCCGCCGAGCCACCCAGCAACCGAGCCGTCGAGCCGCCCGACAGCCGAGCCGCCCAACAGCCAAGCTGCCAAGCCGCCCAGCAGCCGAGCCGTCGAGCCGACCTGCCGTCGAGCCGCTACTTTTCCTACCGGCGCGCCCCGGCCCTACTTACTCAGACTAGTGAGATCACTCCCAGCTAGGCCACTGCAGTCATGGCTACTCCCAGTGTCTTTACCTTCGATGCTGAGGGTTGTGCTGTTGACTTTGAGGTCTGGGTTGATGACCTCCAGCTGTTCCTACAGTGCGATAGGGCAGACGGACTCTTCTTGTTTGATCTCACCTCTGGTGCCTCTCCTGCCCCGCGTGCTACTGCTGACAGCACTGTTCGCTCACAGTGGACCACACGCGATGCTGCTGCCCGTCTTACTGTGCGTTGCCACTTACCAACCACTGAGCGTGCGCACTTTAGCCAGTACAAGAGTGCTAAGACCTTGTACGACGCTGTAGTTGCACGCTACTCTTCCCCTGCCACTGCTGCGCTAAGCCGCCTCATGCTACCGTACCTCTTCCCTGACCTTGCTGCCTTTCCCACAGTCGCTCACCTCATTACGCACCTTTGCACTAGTGACACTCGCTACCGCGCTGCGCTTCCTGCTGAGTTCTGTGCCAAGAACCCCCCCCCCCCCCCCCCAAGTACATCACCCTCTGCTACATTGTCACCCGGCTCCCTGACTCCCTTTGCTTAGTCAGGGACCACTTCCTCTCAGTTTGCCCCACCACACTCACCGTTGACCTCCTCGAGGAGCGCCTCCTAGCGGCAGAAAAGAGCGTAGTCGTTGTAGGAGCCTCACGTGGTGACCTCGCACCCCCGTCTTTGAGAGGTGTTCCCCTTCCCCCCTCTTGCCCTTTGTTGCTTCTGCTGCTGCGGCCGACCTCGTTGGTTTCGAGTCGGTCGGCGCTGCGTCTACCCCTAGCAGGAGACGCCGCACCGGCAAGGGCAAGGGGGGCAAGGGCGCTGGAGGGGCTGGCGGGGGCGGTGGAGGTGGTAGTGGAGGCAGTGGAGGGGGTGGGGGTGGTGGCGGAGGTGGAGGTGTCAGTGGCAGCAGTGGATGCGAAGGAGGCGGCAGTGGCGGAGGGAGCGGAGGCGGCGGAGGTGGCGGAGGCGGCGGAGGTGGCGGAGGCGGCGGAGGTGGCGAAGGCGGCGGTGGCAGCGGTGGAGCTGGTCGCGGCTCTGCGCAGAGGAGTGGATCAGGTGGTGGTCCGCGCCAGCAGCAGCAGCGCAATCGTAGGACCCTGTCCCCTCAGCAACTTCGTGAGTGGTATGCTGCGCGTCAGCGCGGTGGGGGTACTGGTCCCTGCACCTATGTCTTCCGTACCGGCGACCGCGCTGGTGAGTAGTGCGGGGGCCAGCACTCCACCCAGCGTTGCTTCGCCCGCCTGACGGATGCGTGGCTTCACCAGTTCCCTGACGCCACTGAGATCCCTCGCTGGGGAGAGCTGTCTAGGGCGGGGGTTGCTATCTTTGATCTTGATTATGATGCTATTCCTGCTGCCATGTATGCTGTGTGTGATAGTGTTGAGGGTGACTGTTACCTGTGTGTTCCGCTTGACCGGGGCATTGAGGCTACTGCTCTAGGTGCTGGTGAGGCTGCTGCTCTAGGTGCTGGTGAGGCTGCTGCTCTAGGTGCTGGTGAGGCTGCAGCTCTAGGTGCTAGTGCGTGCGCTGCCCCAGATGCTGGTGAGTCTACTCTCTCAAGTACTACATCGGCTCAGGCCTTACACACCTTCACCCTTGACTCGGGTGCTTCCCCCTTCATCTTTCAAGACCGCAGCACGCTTAGGCCACTTAGTCGGCCGGTTGCGGTCTCCCTAGCGGACCCCTCTCGGGGTCCTGTCCTTGCTAGCTTCTCAACTGTCATACCGTGCCCGGCAACCCCCTCTGGCACCCTGTCAGGTCTCTACCTCCCCTCGTTCTCTACGAACCTGGTGAGTGGAGCTGATCTACAGAACCTCGTTCTCTTCCTTTGCTTTCCCCCTGACGCGCTTGGGTGGCAGTTTTACCATCCCACCTCGCGCTGTGTTCTGTCCTCCCAGGACGTCACCTTTGACGAGTCGGTGCCTTACTACCGTCTCTTCCCCTAACGCACTTCGCCCCTTCCCCCGCCGCCGCTCTTCCTTGCGCCAGGTCCTCCTCAGGTAGACCCCCTCCCCCCTCGGGGTCCTGCCCCGTCAAGTGTGTCTGAGGTAGACGCAGTTGAGCCTGTCAAGGTAGCTGTTGACTCTGGTACTGCTCGAGCTGCTGAGCCTACGGGTGCCGGGTCTGGAGGTGCTGAGCCTGAGGGTGCGGAGCCTGGGGGTGCTGAGTCCAGGAGTGCGGAGCTTGGGGGTGCTGAGCCTCGGGGTGCTGAGTCTGGGGGTGCTGAGCCAGGGGGTGCTGAGCCTGGGGGTGTGGAGCCTAGGGGTGCTGGGTCTGCTCGTGCTACCTCTTGCGGTGCTTCGTCGAGGCGGGAGCCACTCTCTCCGCAGGAGTTGCGCGAGTGGCTTGCCCGGCGCTGGAGCCGTGCTGCTGGAGCTGGAGGTACTACTGTTGTTCCTGGTCGCGGAGGTCCTCGTACTGGCGGTTCTAGAGCTAATGGGAATGGGGGTGCTGTTGGGGCTGCTGGAGGTTTTGCTCGAGCTGCTGGCGGTACAGGAGCTGCCGGTCCTGCTGGAGTTGGTGCTGATGGAGCTGCTGGAGCTGAAGCTGCTGGGGATGTTGGCGCTGGTGGTGCTGCTGGCGCTGGTACGTCTGAGGGTCCTGGAGTTGGCGCTGTTGGAGCTGGAGGTGCTGCTGGCGGTGGAGGTGCCGCTGGGGGTACTGGTGCTGTCCTTGTTGGTTCTGGAGGCATTGCGCGGCCGCGGCCGTACTTCGTTCTGCTCCTTGAGCAGGTTGCTGGTCTCCCGCCCACTACTTGTCCTGCTCCTCCCTTAGAGTGTCCAAAGTCTGTCTAGTCGCGTTCACAGCTACAGCCCGCCTCCCCCCTACCTGCTCCTTCTCCCTACGCTGGTCCCACTGGAGGTCTTGCTGAGCGTCGTGAGCCTGTGTCTCGTCCTGCGTTGCCTATTCTTGCTACTCTTACAAGTCGTCGTGCTCCACGTCCGTGTCCTCCTGCCGTCCTAGGCACACACCAGATGGCACTGCGTCCTTCCACTGCTCCTTTGAGTGTCCCATTGCCGTCTTCTCCAAAGTCCTCTCTTCCTGTTCTTGCTGACCCGGAGTCTGACTCTCTTCGTGTTGCTAGTCTTACTATCACACGTCTCCTGGCCACTGTTGTCACTAACCCTTCCTTTGAGTCCACTGCTACGTCGGCCCTAGTTGCTGAGCTTGTCGACTTTGCTGCTCGCTGTCGTCTAGACTACGCTGCTAGTCTTGTTGCTGAGTCTGAGTCTCTCTGTCCTCCGTCCGTCGGGGGTGAGTGTGCTCTTAGCACGGACGTCCTTGAGGACACGCAGGAGGAGTTCTAGTGTTTTGCTGCTGCTATACCTCATCTCGTGTCCACGCTGATTGCCCCTGAGGGAGACCCGGATGCACCAGACATCCCGACTCCTCGATCGTACGCTGAGGCGATCGAGGGTCCCTACTCCTCTCAATGGCTGTCAGCCATGTACGCAGAGATGGCTTCCTAGAAGTCCACAGGCACCTACGTCGACGCGTTTTCCCCACCTGGGGCGAACATCATCAGTGGAATGTGGATTTTCAGGGTGAAGCGGCCGCCGGGTTCTCCGCCTGTCTTCAAGGCGCGTTACGTGGCTCGAGGCTTCAATCAGCGGCAGGGAGTTGAATACTTTTAGACCTTCTCTCCCACCCCAAAGATGACCACTCTTTGGGTGCTGCTGCACATAGCCGCTCAGCGCGACTACGAGCTTCACTCTCTTGAATTCAGCATAGCTTTCCTGCAGGGCAGCCTGTACGAGGAGATCTGGCTGCGCCGCCCACCTGGCTTCACTGGGTCGTTTCCTCCAGGTACCAAGTGAAGCCTCCGGCGGCCAGTCTACGGTCTCCGCCAGGCGCCCCGTGAGTGGCACGACACACTGAGGACTACACTTGCGGCTCTTGGGTTTGCTCCTTCTGCAGTCGACCCGTCGCTGTTTCTGCGCACCGACACCTCCTTGCCGCCGTTCTACATCCTCGTGTACGTCAACGACTTGGTCTTTTCCACAGCTGACACTGCTGGACTTACCCACGTGAAGTCCGAGCTGCAGAAGAGACACACGTGCACAGACCTTGGTGAACAGCGCAGCTACGAGCTTCACTCTCTTTACTTCAGCATTGCTTTTTTGCAGGGCAGCCTGTACGAGGAGATCTGGCTGCGCTGCCCACCTTGCTTCACTGGGTCGTTTTCTCCAGGTTCCAAGTGGAGCCTCCGTCGGCCAGTCTACGGTCTCCGCCAGGCGCCCCGTGAGTGGCACGACACACTGAGGACTACACTTGCGGCTATTGGGTTTGCTTCTTCTACAGCCGACCCGTCGCTGTTACTGCGCACCGACACCTCTTTGCCGCCGTTCTACATCCTCGTGTACGTCGACGACTTGGTCTTTGCCACTGCTGACACTGCTAGACTCGCCCACGTGATGTGCGAGATTCTGAAGAGACACACGTATACAGACCTGGGTGAACTGCGTAGCTACCTTGGCTTGCAGATCACCCGGGACATAGCACAGTGCACCATTACCCTGACTCAATCACACATGGTGCAGCAGGTCCTTCATCGCTTCGACTTCACGTACTCCTCGCCTCAGACCACTCCTCCGTCTACTCGCCACTTGCTCTCAGCTCTGCCTTCGGATGAGTCCGTAGAGCCGAGTGGCCCGTACCCAGAGCTTGTTGGCTGCCTCATGTATCTGATGACCTGCACACGACCTGACCTTGCATACCCTCTTAGCATCTTGGCACGCTATGTTGCTCGTGGAAGACACCGACCAGAGCACATGGCTGCAGCAAAGAGGGTGTTGCGCTACTTGTGCAGTACGTCGGGCATGGGGCTAGTGCTTGGAGGGCGATGTCGAGTGGTCCTCATAGGTCACGCAGACGCTTCTTGGGCTGACGACCAGGCTACGCAGCGGTCGTCACAGGGTTACACCTTCAATCTTGGCTCCGGCTCTGTTTTGTGGCCGTCTACCCGCTCGTCTTCTGTTCTCGGCTCCAGCTGTGAGGGTGAGATCTACGCGGGGGCCATGGCTACACAGGAGCTACGCTGGCTCACCTACCTGCTGACTGACCTAGGAGAGCCGCCTCGTTCTCCTCCAGTTTTGTACGTAGGGAAACAAGGCCATGCTGGCCTTGTGTCGGGAGCACAGACTGGAGCAGAGAACAAAGGACATTGCTCTCCGCTATTTCCTTGCTCGTGAGCTGCAGCAGCGTGGTTAGTTGCGCCTTGCTTACGTGGCCTCTGAGGCCAACACTGCTCATATCTTTACCAAGGCACTTCCGCCTGGTGATCATCAGCGCTTCTGTACTATGCTAGGTCTTGTGCCTACTTGGCCTCACTTGCTCACCCCTTGACCATGCTTGTACTGTGATCTTTCTATACCTGCACTTGCATGTTTACCTTTATATATTATCTTGCATGTGAACTGGCCTTCTGGCCTTGCTCTTGTGCTTGGATTGTGTGGTGACGTTGTGATCCACCCTGAGCTTGCTTTGCTTTGCTTGATTGGTCTTGTGACCTCTTGTTCTCCCCCACTTTGCCTATGGGGGTGTGTCAAACTTATGTCATATAGCTTGTCTAGGCTATAGTGGGGTAGACACTATAGGGTACAGTTTCTTAGGGTTTCCTACTTGTACCCAACCTTGTGCTAGTTCATTCATTTCCTCATTTCTTCACACGCAATTGACAACGGTCGAAATGAAACCAGGCGAGAAAGGAATGGCGTATATTAGCCGATGTCGCGAGTTGCGCGACAAACTCCTTCGATGCGGAGGGTCAATATCTGAAGACGCCTTTGTGACAGTTATCATTGGCGGTCTCGGCCCTCAATGGCGCACCACAAAGGCCATTCTCCGAGCCCACGGAAGAATCTCTTGAGCAGCGCTCTGCGCCGAAATCCACGCCGATCAGCAAGGCATGGACCTGCAAGAAGAGCGACACAAGAAGAAGACATTAGCATCGGAATTTGCATTTCACACTCAGCGACGCTACAACAACAACAAACAACAACATCCAAAGCCCGTACCTACGTTTTGCCACATCTGCAAGACGTCAGGGCACCCGCGCACGCACTGCCTGAATCGACAACAGTCAACGCCTCCACAGCGGCAGCTTCGACCTTCAAGCAACCAAGTCGCCTCATCACAAGCAAATCCCACGACCCAGATTCAAGCCTCAAAAACCTCAACAGGACAACCTGCACAAGGAGCAAGGAACATAGTCAGTTGTATGGCAAGACTGAGTGACTCCTGCATCACAGAATCACCACCGTACTACTCACTGGAAGAACAACTCGACGACTCCACACCACACCGTGATTCACTTCAGCCGAATCCGACGTACGCAGCCATCGCCCAAAGCGAGCCATCCGAGAAGGACACGTGGTTCTTGGACAGTTGCTGCGGACAGCACATGTGTTCTTCAGGATGCTTCGTGCAACGAGAGTACCAACTCCAACGCGAAGTAGTCATCACCGTCGCCAACAACGAAAACATGTGCACACGACGACAAGGAGTGGTTCAACTTCCGACACGAGAAACAAACGTTATACTACAAATGGCCAAGGTCTTAATCGCAGAAGGCCTCAGCTACAACTTACTCTGCGTTAGCCAACTGATGGCTAAATGTATCCACCTTGAAGCAGACAACACCACTCAGGAGTTCAAGCTGTACCACGAGAAGGGTGGCCTCTACATCAAAAAAGCGATGCTGAAAAATAACGTCTTCGTTCTTGCTTTTGTTCCAGATCTCGGCACAGCAGACAGCCATGGTATCGTCACCTTCACTTCTTGGACCCACCCTCCAGATCTTGA